AAAAAAAAAAAAAAAAAACCACAAAAAAAAAAAAAAAAAAAAAAAAAAAAAAAAAAAAAAAAAAAAAAAAAAAAAAACTAAAGTTATTCCTATGATAACTCAAGAACTAAGTATTCTATAACTAGAATTATAGCTTATTTGAAAGATCTTATCAAGCTAAGTCTAATAGTAAAATCTAAATCTAATTTAGCTAATAAGTTATTAAGAAAAATAATAATAACTAAATCTAAATATATATAATAATATAAAAATATAATAATTAAGAAATATGCTAAAACTCATTTTGTAATATTTTTATCCTCTTAAAGAATTTACTTCATAAATTTAAAAGATATAAAATATAAAAACTAAAACTAATAAAATAAAAATTTCTGATTCTAAATATTAAATTTTAGTTGAAATTATTCAACAGAATTTGAATATTTTATATAACTAAAATTAAAAAAATGTTTGATGATATTTGATTACTATTTTCTAGAAATAGATAATTATTATCAAATTCTACATGAACTATAAGTTTAAATTAGAAAATTAATAAGTCAGGTATGATTTATAATAATCAATATTGAAATCTTTATTGTTGTTTCAATGAATTTTAAAATAATTATTTAAAAATTATTTAATTGTAATATCGCGAGCTAATGAGAGTCTATGTAATAGTAAATTTTATCAGATAATCAATATGCAAGTTACTCAAAAAGCAAAATTTATATCAAATTAAAGTAGTTCAATCAGAGTTAAATTACCGCTATAGTGATACAATTCCAATTTAGATAACTCGAGTCAAATGCTTATATTCTTTTTTTTTAAAGTTTGTTTCGTGCTTTTTGACTTTATATTAGATACATACTACATTCCATATGACAAACCTAGCATAAACTAGTACGATTTCAAATCTTTTGCAATTCAAGGTAGTAATATTTCGCTTAATTTTTCACTTTTTTATCAAAAATAGAACAAACCAAGTGTTAGCAATAGAACTTTCAACTATATAGGCTGCCATCAGTAGAAATCAAGCAGATTTCTCTAATAAATCTGCCTAATTTCTATTGACAGCAGCCATACATAGATTGTTAAAGGCAAACATTATAATCGTCTTTGAACAAACATTCTTTTTATATTTCATATTTGATCTATTAAAAAGCACTTGATAAATAAAACTATCTATCTGAACTCCTTTTTTTTTTTAAAAAAAAAAAAAGTATGTATAAAAGGACGAACCCTTCTTCCCAAACTATATTGAATTTCATACAACGTTGAAATATTATCGAGTTAAAATCTTCAGACATGATTTAGATTCACAGCAGTATAATAATTAGTATTACTAAGACGAAGCAAGGACAGGTTCAATATTTATTTTACAAGACTAATAATAGTTAGCAATTGTATAGAATAAACTGCTAAATAATTTCTTTGTATAGGTCAAACATATAAGCCACTTTTTTTTTTGTCTAGAACACAGAACGAGCTCATTTTGTATTAGAAAAAAAACCAAAATAGCTAATATCTATGATATATAAAGTTATGAGGATTAGGTCTACTCTACTTGTATTATTGGCTGTTGCAATCGATATATAAATACACATATAGCAAATATATATATATATATATTAGTAAGCAATTATTATGAAAAATTATTATTATTTTATATAACTAAATTATAGATTTCCTTTCTACTAAAACACAGAATGAATTCGAGCTGAGATATCTAAGTAAAATTGAAATTATGAATAAATACAGAACAGAATAACAAAAGGTTCTTTTAATATGAATAAATTAATTTGAATCTGTTTATCAAAAGAATAGATATTATGTTTGTATTAGTTATCTAATTAAGTTTTAGAAGTTTTAGATGGATAGACCAGATTACTCTATCATCTAATGATTTATATTATAAGTACGGTTTATCTATGCCTAATTTCTCTCACTTGACTTTTGTTAATATTTCGCTACATTATTATTTATTTTTATTTAGCTAATTTGATTTATTCAGTAATATTAGTTGATAATTTGTCTATGATGTATACTGAGTTTGTCTATTTAAATAAATGAATAGATGTGTTTAATCTCTAATAGAGTTGGTTTTAATGACAAAGTTTTGACAAATATAGTATTAAATCCAATGAGTAAGTACTATATTTAGTTTTTATTTATATTCTTTCTGCTTCTTAAGTTGAATATTCTACGCGAGTTTCTTCCAATGCTTTTTGAGCCTGTTCTGTGACTTTTTCTTTGAATTCTCTGTGATATCTGCTAATCTAATTTTGTATTGTTAACACTTTAGGTACATTATCATGTTCAATTTTCCCACTCAATACAAACTCTTGAAGTTTATCATACATTCCTTGTGCAGTAAGTTTATCCTAAGGATTCAAATTACTATTTAAGAACATACATTCTAACATATCTTTGACTTGTTGCTTTATTCTCTTGTCTCCGCCTTTTCCACCTAATGTTTGGTTTTCTTTCAATGCCCATCCTCTCGCAAATGAGTAATAATTATCAACACTGTCTATTTCCATTTGTACTTCAATACAATTTTATGATTAGATAATATTTAGTTATTTCAAAACTTAGATTTTAATTTATACTTACTTAGGTTTTTATTTTTTTTATCATTTTTATTTTCTTGTTGCAATACATTAGATGAGAAGTCTAATTAAAACTTGATAACAAATTAGTTATTTGTTGTCTCTGAATTAGTCTTTATTTTAACTAAACATACCTATTTCCAATTGTTTATCAACGTCTTGATTAAAAAAAAATTAGTATATTTTTTGATTTAAAAACATAAAATCATTACACATCTGGTAATTTGGTTGTTATTAGCATAGTCCATCTTCTAGATGGTTCAGTATGTGAAGACACTATTGGTTCTGGGCGAACAATTTCTTCATTGTATAGCTTAGCAATTTTTGTAGGAAAAAACCAAAAATATGATCCAAGATGTGGCAAAGAACGTACTTGAATATATCTAGTATAAATACTGTCCACTAGCTACTCCCACCAATAATATTTAGATATCCCAGACATGGTATTGATTATTTTTTTTTTTTTTGATTTTGAATTTATATCATTCTGATTGCTTTCTTCATTATACTTACCTTTTATATTTCTACTTAGTTTAATATTTGCCAAATAAGTTCTAGCCAAATTTTTTGCTGCTTCAACAATATCAGACCCATTAGCTATGTCATAGCCAATTCGTATATATCACTTAATCGCATGAGTAATCTATAAATAATAATACAGTATATAAATAATTTAGATATTTTTAAAACTTGGTTTAATTTATATTTTA